TTGGAGTATTGATGTATTCTTCCTCACAAAATCGCGTTGATTTGAGCTGATGGGTGTCCAGAATCTTAAGTTTTTCAGGAAAGAAATCCGAGTGCGGCCAGCTAGCAATGGCGCCGGCAGCAAGTTACGGGCTATTCATGCCCATGCCACCTCTTGGGTGACTTAATCTTTATCAATCAGGTCATGACCTCTGTTTAACTCCAGCAGGCGCCCACTTCACAACAAAAATGATAATAAGCATAAACCAAGAAGGTACGAATGCTAGCCACATGCAATCGTAATTAACAAGTTAACCCTCCAATCATAAATGCACTCTTAAAGGTGCTAGTAAGCTCTACCATTAAAACTGAGAAAAATGAAATTTAACTAACTCTTTATACCTTGGATGGCTAAGCCTATGTAATAATTTCCTTCATATTTAGCAATAAGTATATACTTGCAGTTACTATGTATTATTCTATATTATTCTAATATACCTACAATTTTCTCTCATCTTTTATTCAAAAGCAAAACCAAAAAGTACCTAATTTCATCTTCATAGTTTCCTACCTTGTGCTTTATTCAAAATTCTATATTTGCCTCATTTTTATTCCTATATTTTCTATATTTGCCTTCCTATATTTGACTATATTTATTCTATATTTGCCTCATTGAAAAAAAAAGTGCCTAATTTCATCTTCACAGTTTCCTACCTTGTGCTTTAAAATTGCACTGTATCTAGTGCTACCCAATCCCCCAATTTTTATGTACCTAATCCAAACAACTTTACCATTGTGATCATTACTGTCTTCTTATATGTGCTATTAAAATGCTGTATTGTGCCTATTAATCTTTGTTAAATTACAAATCAAGCTGTCAGTGCAATCAATCAGATCTACTGATGTCCTTTAATATACCTACTAATCTCTCTCATCTCATTTTTTCTTGCAATGTACAGGTACCTGTTAACATTTTAATATTTTTGCAAGAATTTACCTACTTAAAATTATCTGTCAGGTTAAGGACCTGCCCGAAACGCTGCGAGTACTAGTAGCTTTACAAGAATGTAAACATGATGCTATGTATCCTCACAAACCCAATGTACCTTCTTGTATATATATATAAATAAATAAAATAATAAATTACTTATTGTTACACAGCCAAATTGTGTAACAGGAAGAGGTTTTGGACCCCTACTTCCCCCTCTTTTTTAACAGGTTATAATAGTCCATACAGTCATAATTATAGGTATAAGTATTCAATGAGAGAAGTTTTTTAAAGTTTTAACCCTTTTTACCTATCATCATTTGTGCAGTGGGGCATTTGGTGATAGTAAATACTCCCACCAGCCACCTTTTCTCATATTTCATGTTCACCAGTGTTTATTTACTTAATAACTTCTGGTATAATATCTTGCTATTATAAAAACTAATTCTAATATCATAAAAGACATATTTACTGCAAGTTTCAAGCAGAAAATGTATATATAACTAACACGAAGGACTCCTCTTCACGAGATTCTCCAACTAATAATCTTTTGTTTATATAAAATCGATCCTCTGTGTTGTGTAGTAGAGAAAAATCGAGTTATATCCAGTTTACATAAAGCTATGAGTGGTCGACAGCACTCAGCCAACGGAGCAAACTTACGAAGGTTTTCCTTCTTAGTGTGCCTACCTGAATACCGACGTAGCCGCTACGTAGGCGCTAAAAAGGAAAAACATTCATAAGTACCTGTACCTTCATGAATCTGGCCCCTGGCTACCAAGTAACCACGTTGCATAAGTTTACTCAATTTTAAGGTGAAATATTAGAATAAGGAAAATCGTACCATATTTTCTATTTATGGTGAACCAGATTATTTCTTCCAGGGAATGATTATTCAGGGAACAAATATAAATGATTATAAATGAACATAAACCTATCACAAACTACAAAAAATATTTAGGGCTGTAAGGAAACCAAAAAGCTAAACTAACTTTAACCTACGTGCAATATTGGACATTATCAGTGGTACAGCGCCGTCCTCATAAAGGCCAAAGTCCATTTCATAAACCCACCAAACCCTGTTTATGAATGAAAACGGTTTTCACATGACTCGCAACTGATGACGTTTGAACACTTCTGGAACAAGTGCTTCACTGACAACTTTTGTTCAAACCACAACGCTGTAAATGCTTCATCCACGTACAAACACAAATAATCACCAACAGAACCTAAACACCTAACCTAACCTAACCAAACCAATGGCTAAATACGCACAGTATGCTAATATGTAACAATACAGGGTATTAATTTATATTTGAAAAAATTTCTATTTTGAATGAACAGCATGTTAACATTTATGAATGCGTCTTTGGGGTTGACCGCTGGATGGAATGGACTTGGTCTGAGGATGGGTTGCAGAGTATCAAAATGTTACAAACCGGGACTAACATTTATGGTATCAGGATAATGACTGATAAAGTGGATTTAATCATATTCTTTTCAACAAAATTACTACAGTGAACTATGATTCTTGAGCCATTCCAATCGATTGAGTGGCCAGCAAGGCTAACATGAAAGAATGCACTAGATTGCTGTGCAGTTCGTATTGAGTACTGATGTTGAGACACATGCATCAGTTGTTTTCCAATCTCTCCTATGTATTTGAAACTACAATCTTTGTAAGGGACTGAAAATACACATCCTGCTGAGGTACTAGTAGTGTTCCATAATTAAAATGGAGTTTACTGTATTATTGATTTTAAAGACTAGGTAAACATTAAAAATCTAAAAAATCTGAGAAAGTTTAACAAGCTCCTCTAGTGATTCTAGCTCTTCACACCATTGATAAGGTCCTATATTTCATGTTTAAGTTAGCATAGTTTTTTTGTTTCCTTAAGCCCTGTATATTGTGGTTTTCATGTTTGCATTTAGATTATTTGAATTGAAAGGTTTTGTAAAATTAAACTAAATACTATTTATATATTTATCCGTTTTGTTTTTCCTTGGAAGAAATAGCTTAGTACACCATAAATAGAATATGTGGTATATTCTCCCTTGCTTCTTACTTTCAACTTAAATGAGTAAAATTTATGGTTCCTCGACTTGATACTCTTGTTTGTTTCCTTGTGTCCATTACTGTATTATCTTCTGCATTTTTTTTTAATTTAATAATTAAATAAAATATATATATATATATATATATATATATATATATATATATATATATATATATATATATATATATATATGACAATGTCAGACCACGGAGGAAAATGAAACAGGAATTTCCTTAAGTACTTTCGTATATTAAATACATCTTCAGAAGGAATGATTCCTTCTGAAGATGTATTTAATATACGAAAGTACTTAAGGAAATTCCTGTTTCATTTTCCTCCGTGGTCTGACATTGTCACATTCTTAATCACGTGTTTATTTTCGTGATATACACACACACACACACATATATATATATATATATATATATATATATATATATATATATATATATATATATATATATATATATATATATATATATACAACCCGTTCTCGCAAATTCGTAAAGTCAATATTGACTTATTAAATAAGTGCATAGGTGACATACTAAACATAATAGATACCCTTAAAAAGCTTCATAGAAAACACCGACCTTACCTAACCTTGTTAGTATCTTAAGATAAGCATCTTATAGCTTCGTAATTACAATTGTTACTTAACCTATTATAGGTATAGGTTAAGTAATAATTGTAATTACAAAGCAATAAAATGCTTATCTTAACATACTAACAAGGTTAGGTAAGGTCGGTGTTTTCTATGAAGCTTTTTAAGGGTATCTATTATGTTTAGTATATCACCTATGCACGTAGTTAATAAGTCAATATTGACTATACGAATTTGCGAGAACGGGTTGCAACATATATTATTATATATATATATATATATATATATATATATATATATATATATGAGAGTTCTTCCATTCTTGTACACCCACTAGCATGCACAGCATTTCGGACAAGTCCTTAATCCTAATTTTCACACATAAACATCCCCAGGAAGTAGCCTGCAGCAGCTGTCTAACTCCCAGGTACTTATTTACTGCTGGGTGAACAGGGCATCAGGGGTGAAAGAAACTCTGCCCATTTGTTTCCTCCTCTGCTGGGGATCGAACCAGGCCCTTAGGACTACGAACCCCCGAGTGCTATCCACTCGGCTGCCAGGGCCCCCACCTGACGTGGATTTATAGGTGGATTACTAAGTATGCATGAATACAGGGCACAAAACAACTACAGTATCAATTAAAGACTGATGAGTAAGGACCAATAAAAAAAGCCACATTGAAACATCTGTACCTAGTTTATCACATAGCCCTGGTAATTACCTAAGTGTAGTTACAGGATGAGAGCTACGCTCATGGTGTCCTGTCTTTCCAGCACTCTGTCATATGTTTTGAAACTACTGATGGTTTTGGCCTCCACCATCTTTTTTGGTACTTTAACATCTGTGCTTAGCCCATCACATATTACCCCCACTAATAGGAAATAAACTCCATCAACATCAGACACAAATCATCTGAATTTACCTAAAATTAACTGAGAGCCAACATCTTTAGTGACCTTGATGGGGACAGAAACCCAACAGTTTGTCAAAGATCGCTCCCTGCTAACACTATTGTAGTTTTCAATTTCATGAGATTCATTGCCTTTGATATTGTTGAGTACAACTAATTTTTCTGAGCTTAATTTTCTTGAGCCTCTGGTGGCTCCCTGAAGCCATAGGAGCAGAGCCAGAACCTGGTGCCCCCCTCACAGAGGCACAGGAAAGAGGGGATTGTCAACAGTCACTGAAAAAAACATAAAAAAAATACGTAAAGTAATACAAATAACGGCAAGGTTCACAGAAAATGAAGCACCACAGCAGTCAAATGACTCTTCAAACTATTTATTCAAACCAAAATAATTCACTTGAAACTAGCTCATTTGCCCTAGTGCAAATGGCTGCAACAGGTGGCACCCCAGAAGCTTCAAACTCACGTGCTAGCAATGAGTCAGTCCTATCGCTGATGTCTGAGCAATCAGACTTTCCCCAGCCACCAGATTGTAGCAAGTCCCACTTCATTTCCACGATAAGTGAAGGCCACCTTTTTACTCTGTTCTGTGGGGGTGCATTTGCTTGTGTGTTATTCTTATCCTTAAGTATTTGCTTTACACACGTGTGTTTACAAGCTTTACTTGTTACGCAGACTTGGTTTCATATTCACAATGAGCTGCAAGTGTTTAGGGGAAGCCCATCCTAAACATCCATTTAGCATTGCCCTTGTACCGAGAGTAACTCCTCTGGTGTGTCCAGGAGTTTGCTCCCGAGAGGCCAGGTTACTGTGCAGAGAACCTCACTCTGGGAAATGCACAAGTCTTCAATTTTAATGTGGGGGGGGCCCTGTTGTTTGGGTGTTGTGGATTTCTTTTTTGGGGTGTACCAGGGTTTGCATATTTGTTCATACTGCATGCGGCTAATGTACTTCATACCCGAGTTTATCCTGTAGGCTTGGTTACACTCCTTCAGGCCCTGGCAACTCCACTGTGGTCTGTGACATGGCTCAATGATTACCCATCGAGCCTGCATTCACTGCGTGAAAGTTTGAGAGTTGTCCATCTGTCAGTTTTACTACAAACCAATTGTCAATTCTACTGTCCTTCAGCTGTCTGTTGAGTGGATATTACCACTATCTTGTGGCCTGCAAAATTGGAGATTCACAAGTTTGCTAATTTTGTTTATGCCTATACAGTATCTCTTGGTTTTTGTTTCTCTGCTTTTGTAGTAGAGAGATTCCACAGGCGGCTACCATTTCAGGTTCATTTGCCTGTTTGTGTGCTGCATCATGCTAATTTATTTATCCCAGAGTTGCCCATTTTGTTTTCAAGGCTTAGAGGTTGAAGTGGCTGGTGTTTCCTCAGTTACTTCCCCTGGGTATACTTCCATGTCCCTTTTAGGTATACAGATTTGTTTTCTGTGAACCTTGCAGTTGTTTGCATTGCTTCGCATACTTTCTGGATATTTTCTCGATGAGAGTGATCATATCAATTCCCTGTTCCCTGTGCTCTTGCTAGGGGGCCAAATTTTGGCTCCAGTACCTGATAGGTTATACAGGACTCTTATATCTGATGTGACAGTACAGGGAAGCCATCTTAGTGAGACAGCTTCAGGGACCCATCGAGGCCTTAGCAGATATAGGGGTTTCATTACATTCGATGCTGGTTTTACCAAAATTTTTCACAATGATGAGTCTCTGAGATACAGCATTTCATTTGATTGAGGTCCCATGCAATCTAAAAATATACGGTTGTCCATACACTGCCATACTCGGCTAAATATTTAATTTGCAAGGGAAGACAATTTATCTGTAAAATAAAACCAGTTTATTTACAAAAACTTAACACATTTGTTATAGCTACATGAGTTAACAGAGCAAAATTATAATAAAATATATTTCTTTATAGATGAATAAAATATAATGCTTCTGGAATGCTGTAAGATAAATATACAAAATTTCTGCAAACAACTTATGTAAAACTAATGAGCATATACACACCCCAAAGTGTAGTTATTGGAAGAGAGCTATGTTCATGGTGTCCTTGTCTTCCCTATAATCACATGACAGATTACAGGGGAGATGGGACATTGCAAGTGTAGTTCTCATTTTGTAACTACACTTCGGTAATTACATATAGGCGACTGCCCAGTGGTTATATAGTCAGAGCTCTTCAGAGTCATTATCTAAAAACGTAAAGAGAGCATGTATGTATGCTAATTGTAACCAAAAGCAAAACAGTACTAAAGCAATGAAAAATTTAAGTAAAAATATAAAGCATAAATCACATTAGGAGTAATTATAAGATATTAATCTGCCATTGAGTCAGCAGGGTTAACCTTGGAACATAGTAGCAGCAAGGTGATGAAGCAGGCAGTATGCTAATGTGGTTGGGACAAGATATGCAGACATTACATGCCAAGAAAGAAGAAAAGCACAGGAGAGTTTGAAAGGCTTGCAAAAGAAGAATCACTATTGCAAAATGTACTGGGATGAAGAAAAGAATTAGACAGAATGCAGGAAACAGAGAATACAAATGTATGGCTTCTCAACAAAATTTCTGGTGGACAAGGCTGGGTGCCAGGTTTATTTGAATGGCCCTGGTTAATGGAGCTGTATCTTGTTCTTTTCAGCTGGGGCCTCAGGCATTTGATTTGAGGGTATGTGCATAGATTTCCAGTCCTTTAATCAAGATCTTCTGCCTCTTGGTTTTCTGCCATTTCTCTGGGATTTTTGGTTTCAGCCAAGTAGCGGTCTGCACTCGCTCTGCATTTCCTTACTGCTTGGCTGATGTTCAGCCAAGCACTAAATACATGCCTTATTTTGGGTGGTTCTTCTGAGTGTTGGCTTTCAACTCTGCCTGGGGTGTCCCTTGGCCCTGCAACATTTGTGTTGCATTTTTGCATTTAGAATGCTGCTGCTGTTGCCCCTCTGCCCTGGGCCCTAGTATTCTACTTTCTTATACCCTGTATAAGCCTTGGCCACATTTGTCTGTTTTCTACTTTACTCAATTTTTAAGACATGCTGGCATTATCTGCCAAGTGGATATTATAACATACCTTTAGAAGATACTAAAGAGCCAGTAACTTTCCATTCCTGACATCTTCCCTTCATCTAATATGGGGTGGAAAGGGTTGGTTTGGACAGCTTGTGAATGCATATGTATTCTGATGTGAGTCTCAGGTGACCTAGGCTGCCACCTGTTAGTGGTCAGGCACATCACAAATATGTAAAGATCGTTTGACTCATTACCTCCGAATACTTAATTTTTTTGCAGCAATTGTTTGTGCACTTAACAAGGTTTGACTTCACAAAAGCATAATCTATGGAAAGCTACTGAAGACGCCACCCAGAAAAGTGTGCATTAAAATGAGAACCAGAATTCAGATGAATGACCGGAGGAACTCAAGCTACCGAGACTACTGTAAGAGAAAATTACGAGAAATTTATATATAAAAAATGTACAACTAGATATATTTTTATCGTTGTAAACAATGAAGGAATTCTCAGCCAGGCAAACCTTACAATTAAAACAATAATATAAATACAGTATTCTTAAAAGATAAAAATTATACACTTAAAATCATAATATTTAAAAACATGTTGGCCATTGTAGCTCAATAATAAGAGGAACCCAAGTTTTATGATTAATGAATATGTGCTGTCAGATTCAAGTACTGTACATGCAATAGGGCTTCCTCAAGATATTACAGGGAATCTAATAAAAAGATACAGTACAGTATGTGGCTACTTTTCTCAATTTCAATAACTGCCATATTTTTGGAATCGGACTAAAAGCTTTTATATTTCAAGTCAATACATGGAGCCGTTTACTGACGAACAAGAGACAAGATAAATATATATATATAAACATGACAAAATTTTAAAGTATCCACATAGATATAACAAATAATCGATAGAGTAATGATAGGAGCAGAAAAAAATAGATAAGAAACATTAAAGTCAGCAGCAAATTGAACCAGTGGGTACAAATTCAAACACTGGTTCCAAGGAGAGGGATCCTTAGGTGGCTCCTTAGAGCTATGTCAACAAAGAGAAACACAAAGGGAAATTCACCAGGGGCAGAAGAGAGCTGAAGAAGTAATACCCCAGGAAGTGAGAATTAGCGACGAGTTAACATTCCTAAAGCCACACAAGCCTAGATAGATAGATATAGAGAGAGATAGATAAAGAGGTGCCAAAATATCAGCCACCTGTGAATCATATAAAGATCAGTTCACAAGTCAAGAACTACAAATGTGTAGTTCAGCAGAGAGCCAAGAACCATCAAGAAACAACTCTTAGTCTATCTGCTGGAAAAAAAAGAGAGAGAGCCTCAGAAAATGATGTGGGTTTGGACAACGGGTACACAGGGATGGAAACCATGGCTGCAATGGCCAAAATGAAGTCAACAGGAGAACCTTGCCAGAAAATGTCTCCAGTCTGGAGAGAATTTGGAGTAACAGCTGAACCAGAGGGAAGAGAAAGAAATACCCATTTACCCCAGTCCAGCCGAGAAGCCTTCACAGCGAGTGCCTTACGATTAGGAAACAGGACCAATATAAACTGGAAGCTGTCAATTCCACACCCAAGCAAAGGAGGGGGGGGGGCCCCCCACAGAGTAGATGAACATCTCACATAGCCAACAAAAGGACACATGGCGATGGGGCGAAAAAGAAAGAATATCTGCTAGAATGTTGGACACGCCCCAATGTAAACTGCATGAAGAACCAAAGCCAGAAAATTAAACAGACAAGCTACTTGGAGCATCCAGTCCACAAGGGAAGAGACTAAATTGGCCTTCCATGATTTAGACCAGAGATTTTCAACTTTTTTCAACTTGTAGCACACTGAGCAAGGTGCTGAAATTGTTCAGACACCACAATTTGTTTAAGGAAAGACTTTATGTATATAAAAATGGGGATTAAGATTAATACCCATTTAAAAGTTTAATAGCTAAAATTTTAATAATACCTGTAGTGTTGTTTGTTTTAAATAATGATGATCATGGATTTTAAAAAGATTGATTTTTAAAATTAGTGTTAATACTTCTTATTATTCCTGTTATTTTTTACCTTCCTTCAAACTCTTGTAGCACACCTGTGGATCCTTTGCAGCACTAGTGTGTCAATGCACATTGGTTGAAAAATGCCGATTTAGACAATGAACCACCTGGGAACAGCCAGAGTGGGGCCTGACCACGGAGTCTGCCAGGAGACAAAGCAACCACTGAGCATCATAAATTCATGCACCATGCTGTATGCCGATATCAACTGACCCATGCAATGAGCCTGAGCAGCCAGGGTCAAATCCCCAACCAACAGCCAAGGCATCCATGAAAAGATCAAGTGTAGGGGAAGGGAGGCACCATGGAATAGAACCCCAAAAAGCCCAAAGAAACTGGCAAGCCAGAAGCCATCAGAGACATCTGATGACAATGAAGATGATGACAACAGTCCCAGACATAACGAAGAGATAAAATAAAGAAAATGGCACAACGCCAAGACCCAAAACCTGCCCATAGAATAAACCACACAAAGTTCAGACTCCCGCACATCCACTCGAGAAAACGATAGGTGACCTGGGGGACTCTGTCATCAGCCAGAGACAACCATCTCAATAGAGCAGAGATGCAGGTAGAAAGGAGATGGGAAGTTGACTGAAAATCCTAGACCAGGTCTATCCACATTCAAATTTGTGACAAAAGCAACTGGGATTGGAAAAAAAAAACAGATTTCTGGCTTATAGTCACATGGACTTGCCTGAACCCAAACCAGTCAGTTGTCGAGGTAGGCTAAGATGCAAACCCTTTACACCCAAAGGTGACAAACAACTACATGTGCCAACCTCATGAATGTCCAGAAAGACACATTCAAGCCAAACAGGAAATCCTTAATATAGTAAGTCTGATGCCCCACCACGAAACCTCACGTCCCTGAACTGGGGATGAACAAAAAACCAGCATTTAATGTAATGAAATGCCATTTTCTGGGTGAGACCCGGAAGCTTCCCAGAGCTATCCAGGCTGATATTGCTAATGTCAGACTTTGGCATCAGTCATGTGTATGGAGTTCTGTAGGCCTACCAGGGACCACGAGCCAGAACCTGGCCCCCTCAGAGAGGAGCGAGGAGAAATGGCCTATAAAAACCCCTGTGTGGTTGGAAGCATTCTGTCTGCCATCGACCAGGTCAGTCACCCAGAAAGATAGGTGCCCCAAAACAAACCCCTATTCTGGTGAAAATTGCTACAAAAAGCCGAACTAGTGGACAGAACTCTCCAAACAAAAACGAGCAAACGAGCATGACATCACACATCGCCGCGCCATTGTCTGCACTGTTCCCCCCTCCCTGGGAGGGGGAAGGGGGAGCCCCAGACCCCCCACGCTGGCAATCCACACCCCAGTTCTGAGGTTGGATACCAAAAACAAGAAAAAATGCCGACCTGGGGGAGGGAGGGTTGCCGGGGAGCCTACGGGTCTCGCCCAGAAAATAGCGTTTCATTACATTCAACACTGGTTTTATGGGGGAGCCCCCCTTCAGCTTCCCGGAGCTACCTACCAAAAGATGAAAATCAGAGGGACTTACCCGGGAGGTGGTCGCTGCTCACTTCTCAATGCAAAGTCGAGACAACTGGCTGCAACTGCTGACCCAAAGCAACACAGGCCTGACTAGGCCCAGGAACGTTCACCAAGTAACGTGCAGCCAGGACCCTGTTCAATCTCAAAAAAACCCGCGCCCGAATGTCAACCCAAGACATATTACCAAAAACAGCAGCAAAGGCAGCAAACTTACGAATGTCAAGGGCACGGGGATAGACTGCAGGCTATCTAGAATGAATAATCCTGAGGACGACCTGGGAGACCCGAACCCTGGAACAGGGAAGAAAGGAAATGGGATCAACCCAAAGCGGGTCCCCAGTCACAGAGGACGTGGCGCGCTAAAACCAGCGAAGAGCCGCAACCGGACTCAAAACATGATGCACCCTCAGCCTAATAAAGCAAGCATCAACAACCCAAGGACCCCTCTGGAAAGCAGCAGTCTCATTTTTTTGCCAGAAATGAAGGAGATGGCTGAAAATGAACAAACCTACTACCAGGACCAAACGAGCAGAAACCCCTGCACCGGAGGAGAGCATGAAGCTCCCCGACCCAACCCCCAGAGGCCAATGCCAACAAGAAAAAAAAGAGCCTTAGAGAAACATTCCTGAATCGAAGGGGCCTTTACAAACCGAGGAGAAGAGAGATAAGAGAGCACCCTGTCAAGCGACCAGGACGGCTCAAGCGGCGCATGAGCAGTCCGGAGGTGAAACAACACACGAGACAGTTTGTGAAACAGTGCAGAAGTAACATCAATACCGAAAGCATGCTGTAGTGGCTTCGCCAGCACAGCATGATAGGAGGCAACAGTATTCAGCATAAGACGACAGTCCTGGAACACCCAAGAAAGAAAAGAGAAGATAACCTTAACCGACAGCGAAGTATACCTACGAAGCGAAAGAAAAACGGAAGGACCGCCAAGAGACCTCATACAGTACTGCCGCCGAGGCGAAGCCTGCAGGTGGGACACCAACAACGAAGTCATCTGATCACCACAGAGATCATGATAGACCCAGGTCAAAAACATCATACGCATAGACTCGAGGAGAAGATTGAACCAGCCACGTGACGCACTGGTCTGATCTGCTGAAAGAGGCAGAGCCGCGGAAAAACCTCCGGGTTCGGACACCGTGCAAGCAGCATCTGAAACCTGGAGCAACAGCGGAACTGGGGGGGAAAATAGGTACAGGAACCCTCACCTCGACAAGTCCTGCCGAAAGGCATCGACCAGGAAGGCCTCGCAGTCGGGGAAGGATGCCACATATATCAGAAGGCGCCGCGACCACGTCGACGTGAAGAGGTCCACCTCCATGCGCCCGAACGTCTGGTAGAGCCAACTGAACGAGTCGGCGTCGACCGGCCATTCCGTGGAGGGGGGAACGAACCGAGACAGGCCGTCGGCCAAAACATTGGACACCCCCCGAACGTGAACTGCCAGGAGAGCCAAACCCTGAGAACTCGGCAGACGAGTCACCCGAAGTGACCATCACCAAAGAGCCAAGAACCGCATCGAAACCCCTCGGTTCAAACCCACCGGGGGCAGTCCGCATGGAGCCTGACTGTCGATCAGCGGCGACCTGAACCCTCCGGAGAGAAAACCACACCTCCGCAAACTCCAGCACCGTGCTGTGGTGCCGACGGAAGGACGGACCCCACCGCCCCTGGCTGGCCTGGTGAGCACTGGTCATAAAGCCCCAGCTGAGAAATGACACGTCCATGAACACAGGAGAGAGGAGATATGATAGGAACATATAAAATACTCAGGGGAATTGACAAAGTGGAAAAAGATGAAATGTTCACACGTAATAATAACAGAACGAGGGGACATGGGTGGAAACCGAATACTCAGATGAGTCACAGAGATGTTAGGAAGTTTTCTTTTAGCGTGAGAGTAGTGGAAAAATGGAATGCACTTGGGGAACAGGTTGTGGAAGCAAACTCTATTCATAATTTTAAAATTAGGTATGATAGGGAAATGGGACAGGAGTCATTGCTGTAAACAACCGATGGCTGGAAAGGCGGGATCCAAGAGCCAATGCTCAATCCTGCAAGCACAAATAGGTGAGTACACACAGACACACACACACACACACACACTGTACATGCATTGCAAAACAAATGCTAAAACTCAACAAATACACAAGCAAATGGCCCCATAGAACAAACACAGATTCCAGGATGGACTGCACTTATCTGAAAAAACTGGGACAGAAAGAGAAGCATTACCGCAAATGTGATTAAAGTAAGCGCCAAGTAATATGACTAAGGATTCAAAGTTTGTAGATCGAGAAGGAAGGTATGCAGTCCCTTGAGGTGCACAGGTGCTACTAATGTGAGAATTGCTTCACCACCATGTGGTTCATGAGTCACATGGCTTCAATGTCCCATTTTCTATGCTTTGTCAACCTTGCTGTCATCTGTTTTGATTCATCCACCTTTCTGGTACCCTTTTCTTGATTAGGGGTGATCTACATTTCCCTTCTCCTTGTGCCTCAAAGAGGAGCCAGGTTTTGACTTTTGTCCCTGTTAGGCTTATATATGATTCGAAAAGGTCTGGCATGGATTGAATTGGATGGAGCTTGCCAGGTGGCAAGCATCAAAGAGCCACCATTAAGAACTCTCCAAGTAAAACATGAGGAAATACTTCTTCGGGAACAGTTGTGGAACAGATTACAAGACATGGGGCAACAGCTTCAAGCTCAACAAGCCACAATGTAGGACAGAAAACAGATGCTTTTACACCAACAGGGTTATAAATACATGAAACCACCTACCAATTGAAGTTATAAATGCCAAGACTTTATTGTACTTCAGTTTAAAACTCTGATAGAAAAAATCCTCAGGAACAATTGGACAACCTTTGACAAACCATCAGCTTCCTGTCCCTTTTGAAGACACTAGAGAGATTGTGGCTCTCAGGTAAATTCAGATGAAAAAAGTAAAGAATGCTATAAAAACACAGTAGAATTTAAAATGTAATCTGATGAAATGTTTGAGAAAGTCGGGTCATCATAACTTGAGCTGAACTACAATTAGACAATTACACTCACATGTAATCCTTCAACATGCATAACATTCAACAAATATATAATATAATTATACAGTAATAATGTATACAAATAGGAACTTAATGCAATATGCACAATTTTATTAATGCAATATGCACAATTTTATAAAGTGGAGAACTAGCTCCTACTAGCTCTGTGTACGAACATCCAAGAGCAAAATAATCCTTGTCACTCTCTTTATCAGCTTAGAAACTATTTTTCTTCTGTACCATGTTATTTACCTGTATTTATAAACAAAGTAACTATTGCTATAGATGGATTATATTACTGTAAAATGTTATACAGTATATATACACTAATTGTATTTTTGTCTTGCAAATTATGAATATAAATACAACTGATCATGCAATTAAAAGTCATAGATGGATCGAATTTGTCTGCATTTTGAATGAACTAAGACTAATGTTACATCAGGCATTCATCACAGCATTACTGTGGCCTTTAGCTTGGTGGCGTTTGAGGCTGCCAAGGTTTAAGAACTGCTCATTACATTCTATACAAATATATTTATCAAACATCTGTGAACTTCTGGTGTTCCCATGCTGCGCAGGTAGAGGAACAAACTGATTGAAGTTTCCATTGCTGTAATTTGGTGGGATAAAGTTTGAACTCTCAACTCCTGTAGTGTGTAGCTTCAAATGACTACTTAAGTCAAGTAGACTGGAGACACTAATCCCACAATTATGACAGGCATATGTTTTCTCACCTAAATGAACTTCCATGTGCTGCTCCAAATAAGCTATTGAGGGAAAAGTTGATGTGCAAAACTCGCAAGAAATTGGAGCACATACAGAGAAAGCACCAGGAACATTAGTTTTCTTTTGTACAAGAGATAAATCTGACTGGGTAGGCTGAGCATGTTCCACTAAGGGATCAAGGGAATTGTTAGGGGCAGTTGAATGTGTCAGTGGGTCTTCATTTATAGGTAAAGAATAATTTTCTTTATAAAAATGTTTACAGTCACTTAAATTGGGATTTGAATCCAAGTTGTTCATTTCAAAATTTTCAGCTGACACTGGAGACTCGGACTCCTTCATTTCCAGCGGTAGATCTGCATTGTGGGCTCTTTTAGCATGGACGACCATATATCTGCGCTTTTCAAACCCTGAGTGGCAATGTGGACAAACATGGGGTTTATGTTTATGAAGCATTTTTTTATGTTTGTTTAGTGCACTACGACTTGAGAAGCTCCGTTCACAAATGTCACATTTTGGTTTAATGCCATCATTAGCATGGGAAGCTTGGTGATTCTTAAGCTTACTCTCTGTCTGGCAAACTTTACCACAAACATCACATGTAAATGGTTTCACGCCCAAGTGTAATTTCCTGTGCGTTTCCAGATTCTCCTGGCAATTAAACTTTTCTGCACATTCTGGTATGCTGCATATGAACTGAAGTGTTTTGGATCTTGATTTTTTGGCATCCCTTGCCTCCATAGGAAATACAGAGGGTCTCTTTTGAGCTTCATTAGAAACAGCCATCAGATTATTTGTTCCCACGACTGCCTCACGTTCCATGGCACCACGACCTAATGCATCATGCAGCATGCCTTGTGGCAAAATATATTCATCTCTAGATATCATCCCTTGGTGAATATCATGTTCCATTGAAGCAATTGATATTCTTCACTTCTTTGATATGTCCTAAATCTTTATGAGTTCTGTAATCAATTTTTTCTGGTACTACTTATATTCCATTTATTGTCTTGAAGTCTTTTACAAGACCTCACATCATAAGGAAGCCTGGAAAAAAATATTCTTACATAATTATTCTAAGCAAAATTATTTAAAAAGAACAAGCATCAAAATATTAGAGAGCACCCTCTCACATTCTGACCTCCCTAAACTGATCCCTCAAAATATCAGTCCAAATCTTCCCACTAGATTCCTTCCCCACTTTCACTACCCCAAAAATGTTGAATTTATAGAAAAAAAATCACTGTACTGAAATACTTCTTTCTGCTGGGTCCTTGGTAAACCCCTGATGCTTGCTGCTTGGTAAGCTCCACCCATTTCAATTCATGCCAGGCCTTTGCGAGTCATTGTGAGCCTACCGAGGACCAGAGGCCAAAACTTGACCCCCCTCAAAAGAGGCGCAAGAAGCAGTGGTTCTGCAATCACACTGTCGTGTCATGATCCACAGCAAGGCTCATAAATTTTAATCTCAAACTTTCCCTCATAAATCATTGAACTTTCTGCCCTTCAAGTGAATAAATAAAAAATGTCTAGAGATGAATGAAAGTCTAAATAAAATTCACCAGTTTACTAGGGCAAACCTAGCTGCATGACACAGCTTTATATACACCATTATCTACATACATATCCACAACTAAGTAACAATCAATTAGGTCAAGGCACAAGTCAAGCAACTAGATGTCACTAAGTACAGATCACGTAATAACAGTGATGCACTAGACAGCTCAAGACTGGCTGTTTAGTTGTGAACATGGTGGGTAGTGATGTTACATAACCAGAGTGGGGGAATAATGTCTTGGCATGAACAATAATAACACAAGTCAATGAAGTATCGCTTTTCCTTCAGAAAAACTAAATCCCAACTGGACTAACAAATAGCAAAGTCGATAAAACTTCCCCAAGACTGACAATGGCAAAGTCCAAAAACTAATCAATTTACGTTAGAGCCTACACTGATGGACAAATGGCAAAGTCAATTATTCGTCTTCAAAAGTTAGAGTTCACTATGCCTCAGAAATCTGGCAGTCAAGAATTGCCTCTCAAAAAGTTAAGTCCACAAACCATGAAGTTTGACTAAGTCCTGAATTTCCTTTCCAGAGTTAAAGTCCACACGGGCACCAGAAAATGACTGTCTCCAAACGGCTCAAATACTAATATAAGTCACCTTGCCAAAAAATTACACATATGAATCCAGTGACAACACTATAGAAACTCTGATCCACACTAATAATCCATTTCTTACATAATGGTTAGAAGTTCAAAAGATATACAATATATACAAATATCTTTGAAAGATTATACTCAAGAGAGCACACACACACACATATTGGAGGGGTGACAGGTAAGCTTCTAACTTGGATGAAAATAATTTCTAACTGATAAAAAAATGAGGGCAGTAATCAGAGGAAATGTATCAGATTGGAGAAATGTCACAAGTGGAGTACGACAGGGTTCAGTTCATGCACCGGTAATGTTCATTGTCTACATAAACGATCTACCAGATGGAATACAGAATTATATGAACATGTTTGCTAATGATGCTAAGATAATAGGGAAGATAAGTGACTTAGATGATTGTCATGCCCTTCAAGAAGACCTGGACAAAATAAGTATACGGAGCACCACATGGCAAATGGAATTTAATGTAAATAAATGCCATGTTATGAAATGTGGAATTGGAGAACATAGACCCCCCATACAACCTATAAATTATGTGAGAAATCTTTAAAGATTTCTGATAAAACAAGAGATCTTGGGGTAGTTCTAGATAGAAAACTATCACCTGAGGATCACACACAAAGAACATTGTGTGAGGGCCCTATGCTACACTTTCTAACTACAGAATTGCTTTTAAATACATGGAAGCAAAATATTAAAGAAATTGGTCACAATTTTTGTGAGACCAAAGCAGGAATATGCAGCAGTTGTGTGGTGCCAATATCTTAATAAGCACATCAACAAACTGAAAAAGGTGCAAAGACATGTCTCTAAGTGGCTCCCAGAACTGAAGAACAAGAGCTACGAGAAGTGGTTAGAGGCCTTAAATATGCCAAAACTAGTAGATAAAAGAAAATGAGGCGATATGATCACTACGTACAAAATAGTAACAGGAATTTATAAAATTGATAAGGAAGATTTCCTGTGACCTGGAACTTCAAGAACAAGAGGCCATAGATTTAAACTAACTTAACAAAGATGCTGAAGAAATATAAGAAAATTCATTTTCAAACAGAGTGGTAGACCGTTGGAACCAGTTAGCTGAGAAGGTGGTAGAGGCCAAAAACCGTCAGTTATTTCAAAGCGTTATATGACAAAGAGTGCTGGGAAAATGGGACACCACGAGCATAGCTCTCATCCTGTAACTAACCTAGGTAATTACATATGTGACCTGCAACCCAGACAGACCAGTGAGGTAACTACTGGCTGACACCACCAGTCCACAAACAGTACCAACATTACACTTAGTATATAAATCAACACAGTACAGAATACAAACAGGAAAAATACTGTTACGTATATACGGGTGTGTGTGTGTCTAAATAATATATATATTATATATATATATATATATATATTTAAATAAATAAATATATATATATTATATACAGTGGTACCTCGGAATGCGATTGTCCCTGTATGCGAGATTTTCGGAAGGCGAGGTGTATTTACTCCAAAAATTTGTCTCAGAAGGCGAGGGTTACTTCGGGAGGCGAGTTTGGACGCGAGTTTGTTGATACGCGTACAGCCGACCTAGCGCGTTCGTCGCCCCTCCGCCCCGCCGCCCCTCAGTTTATTATTGTCTGGCGCTCAGTGACTACCCCCACATCAATTCTTCTCGCGGATTTTCAGTGTTTTGTTGGATTTTTGGTGATTTGTCTATACAATTTGTTATTATATATCTCACCATGGGTCCCAAGAACGCCAGTGGTAAGGATAAAGGCCAGAAAGCTCCTGTGAGGATGACAATAGAGGAGAAACAAGAGATCATTCGGAAGCATGAGAACGGTACACGTGTTGTTGAACTTTGTAGGCAGTACAACAAAGCCACATCAACAATATGCACTATACTTAAGAAGAAAAATAAGATTATGGGTGCTAAAGTGGCAAAAGGAGTAAGAACATTAACGGCACAAATACTTGAAGAAGTGGAAAAGTTGTTATTAATTTGGATACACGACAAGGAGTTGAGGGGTGATAGTGTTTCGGAGGCCATTATTTGTGAGAAAGCCAGGGTGTTGCACGAAGACCTTCTAAAGAATACCCCTGCAACGAGTGATGCAGATAAGAAAGAGTTTAAGGCAAGCAGGGGCTGGTTTGAAAAATTTAGAAAGAGAAGTGGTATCCATAGTGTTACAAGGCATGGGGTTATGTGATGTGATTATGGAAGGGGACTCCCCTTCCAAACAGTAACTCCTCTCCTCCTCCCCCCTCCTCACCATCTTCCATACGCCTACAGCACTCGACAGTAAGGTAAGTAATAACTGGAACACAGTTTTGTAGGTTTATTTAGATGAATTAGGTATAAAAATTAAGTTTGATGTGGGGTTTTTGGGGTAGTCAGGAACGGATTAATTCATTTCCCTTTATTTCTTATGGGGAAATTAACTTCGGAATGCGAGTTTTCGGAAGGCGAGGCGTCTCCAGGAACGGATTAAACTCTTATTCTGAGGTATGCCTGTATATATATATATATATATATATATATATATATATATATATATATGTTGTACCTAGTAGCCAGAACGTCGTACTCGGCCGGCTATGCAAGGCCCGATTTGCCTAATAAGCCAAGTTTTCCTGAATTAATATATTTTCCTCTAATTTTATTCTTATGAAATGATAAAGCTACCCATTTCTTTATGTACGAGGTCAATTTTTTTTTTATTGGAGTTAAAATTAACGTAGATATATGACCGAACCTAACCAACCCAACCTAACCTAACCTAACCTATCATTATAGGTTAGGTTAGGTAGACGAAAAAGTTAGGTTAGGTTGTCGAAAAACAATTAATTCAGGAAAACTTGGCTTATTAGGCAAATCGGGCCTTGCATAGCAGGCCGAGTACGACGTTCTGGCTACTAGGTACATTATATATATATATATATATATATATATATATATATATATATATATATATATATATATATATATATATATATACAGGCATACCTCAGAATAAGAGTTTAATCCGTTCCTGGAGACGCCTCGCCTTCCGAAAACTCGCATTCCGAAGTTAATTTCCCCATAAGAAATAAAGGGAAATGAATTAATCCGTTCCTGACTACCCCAAAAACCCCACATCAAGCTAAATTTTTATACCTAATTTACCTAATTCATCTAAATAAACCTACAAAACTGTGTTCCAGTTATTACTTACCTTGCTGTCGAGTGCTGTAGGCGTATGGAAGATGGTGAGGAGGGGGGAGGAGGAGAGGAGTTACTGTTTGGAAGGGGAGTCCCCTTCCATAATCACATCACATAACCCCATGCCTTGTAACACTATGGATACCACTTCTCTTTCTAAATTTTTCAAACCAGCCCCTGCTTGCCTTAAACTCTTTCTTATCTGCATCACTCGTTGCAGGGGTATTCTTTAGAAGGTCTTCGTGCAACACCCTGGCTTTCTCACAAATAATGGCCTCCGAAACACTATCACCCCTCAACTCCTTGTCGTGTATCCAAATTAATAACAACTTTTCCACTTCTTCAAGTATTTGTGGTCTTTGTGCCGTTAATGTTCTTACTCCTTTTGCCACTTTAGCACCCATAATCTTATTTTTCTTCTTAAGTATAGTGCATATTGTTGATGTGGCTTTGTTGTACAGCCTACAAAGTTCAACAACACGTGTACCGTTCTCATGCTTCCGAATGATCTCTTGTTTCTCCTCTATTGTCATCCTCACATGAGCTTTCTGGCCTTTATCCTTACCACTGGCTTTCTTGGGACCCATGGTGAGATATATAATAACAAATTGTATAGACAAATTACCAAAAATCCAACAAAACACTGAAAATCCGCGAGAAGAATTGATGTGGTGGTAGTCACTGAGCACGAGACAATGGTAAACTGAGGGGCGGCGGGGCGGAGGGGCGACGATCGCCGAACCACCACGCGCTAGGTCGGCCTGTACGCGTATCAACAAACTCGCGTCCCGAAGTAACCCTC